CATCAATTTTTGCACAAATTTTAGAAAAAAAAACACTAAAAATTTTTGCACAATTATAAATCTTTTTTTTTAAATAATAAGTTTTGGCATTTTTCGCTCTTCATAGGAAAAAATGTTAGGTTTTTGCCATTTTTTAAAAAAGCACAAAAAATTGCATCTTACGAACATTTTTGTCACTTTTTGAACTTTATAAAAAATTAAATTAACAGTTTGCCTTTTAGTTCAAAAAATTTAAATTAAAATTTGCCTTTTGCAAAAAACTCTGAGACATTTTTGGCACACGCGTTAAAAATTACATTACTTCATATATTAAAACTGTTTATGCTGAGTTTAAATTAACTTTGTTATATTTTTCATAAACCAGTGTACAATTATATAATAGAAAAATTGACACACTCATTAATTACAGAACCAAAATCATCAATGAAACAATCAAAAACTTTCAACAAATCAAAGTCATGCTTTGAGTTTTAATTTTTTTGAATCCTTTTTGAAAAAAAATTGATCCAAGAGTCTGGGTAGATGCAAGCTTCTGGACAGATTTAGATGGCGTATTTTGAAATTTTCCAGTATTTTGAAATTTTGTTTCTAAATTAAACAAAACAATAAATTTCAACCACTTACTTTTCATGAAACCTTGAAAATTGTAGAATCACAACCAAAGAAAAAGACGTCACTACGCCTTAACTTTTATAGAACATCATAAGTTGTTGAATAAACCCATAGAGAAAATTTACGTCACTACCTTTCAACTTCTATAGAACATTGAAAGTTGTTGAATAATTCCATAGTGAAAGTAACGTCAAAACTCATTATTTTTTGGACTCTTCTAAACATTAGTATCTACACATTAACTCTTAGATTTTTTATAAGAAGTCATTACACATCAACTTCTAGTCTTTTTTCTCATCAAGATTGCTCGACGTTTTATCTATTTCGTTAACTTTGCTCGATTTTTATCTATTTATTGCTCGATTTTCATTTAGTTGCTCTATTTCGCTACTTTTTTGTTTTCAAGTCTAAATAAAGATACTCAATCAAGTTTGTGAAAAATAGCAGTAGTTTTCTCAGAAATTCTTAAGTTTTATGAAAAATTTTTAAATTTTGCTTCAGTTCAACAAAATATCTTATTCTACAAAACCTCTTCGTCCACCTTCGCCTACTAATCACTCGCCTGTGCCATTACACTTTTGTAGCGCACAATTGTTGACCTCTATAACCGAAATGTAATTCTGTTCAGAGCGACTTTCCAAAAAGTCGAATTTACAGTAGAACCTGCAATTCTAGAAACAAGCAGACACACAATAGTAAAAAAATAATAATTGATTCAAGACACTTTTTGAGTTTGCAAAAAACCAGGTCCTGGTCGCCATTTGGAGCTAAAATTAAGTCTGACACTACATCATTGTGCGAATAGCTTCACAAACCTAGCAACGTTCTATAGTAAATCAGACTGACTCTTACTGATTTAGAAAGTTTCTTTACGAGAAAAAGTCAACTCTCGTTTGCTAGACCTTGACACTTTTTATAGTGTACCTTGAAAATAACACTCAATTCTTTTGAAAATTTTTTTAAAGTGCTAATATAACCAAGTGCATTCACAAGTGGGACGTTAGGTGCTAATATAACTAAGTGTGCTAACATAACAGGTGCTAATATAACTAAGTGCATTCACAAGTGGAAAACTGATCCATTTTCTTAAATTGGGTTGCATTTATGAAAAAAGAGTCAATCATATAATGATCATTATAAACATCTTCAAGGTCCTGAATTTAAAGTTAAAAAGAGTAAAATGATTTCCATTAGTACAGGTATTTTTTTCGTTTAATTTTTTTAACAAGAAAAAGTCCTAGAAAATTCGAGTAATTCCAGAATTAACATGTGGGACGTTATTCTGGAGCTATTCGAATTTTCTAAGACTTTTTTTTAAAAAAAATTAATCAAAAATTTTCTGTACTAATGGAAATCATTTTACTCTTTTTAGCTTGAAATTAAGGACCTTGAAGATGTTTATTATGATCATTATATGATTGACTCTTTTTTCATAAATGCAACCCAATTTAAGAAAACTGGATCAGTCTATCATTTTTTCCTATTACCCTGGTATTTTACAAACAAAAATCCAATTTGGAAATTAGGAATAATTCACATTTTCAACCATTTTTGATTATGTTGAAAGCCTATTTAGAGTCCATTTCAGCAAAAGAATTTCAATTGAAAAAATGGAAAGTCAAACCGCGAAGAAAAAGTTCTTGCGTGGACAAATTTTGAAGACTTTAGCGTGAGAAAAAACGTTATCAAATCAAGACAATCTATTTAAAAGTGTTCACTATGTTCATTGACGCTTCAAAGTAATTTCAAATTAAAAAATCAATTGTTTTTTTTATTTTGCTAGCCTTTAAAAAAAGATCTATAAAAAACAGATCTATAAAAAATCATAGCCAACAAACAGTTGGAAAAAATCGATGAACGCAAGTAAACAAAAAATAGTGGCTTGCTAATCGAATGAATCCTAACTTTTGCCAAAAAATAGATGGTTATGAAGCTCTTCAATTTTCTAGAACAATTTATGATTGATCTGTATTTTTTGTTTAATAAAATTAACCCATTTGAAGTAAAATTGGATGAGTAAAATTTTTGTTTGGCTGGGAAATGTGACACAGAGGCGAAGCGGAGCTTTGCAACACTAGTGATGCAAAAATTATTCTGAAAAATTATCAAGTAATTTCTACTTGGAAATTACTTGATAAAATATCTCAAAAAATAAGAAAAGATGCAATAAAAGTTGACTGAGCCGATACAACATAAACTGAAACTGTTTGAATATTTAAAAAAGAAACAAAAAGATAATGAATGATACCCATTATCGGAGTTGGTAAATTTACAAACTACTGAAATTTCAGTTGCAGTAAAAAAACTGGGACAAAAAACAAGCTCTAGAAAGTAAGACAAAGGGCGTTTCAAATCAAATGGAAAACGAAACAACAGAAACAAGAACGAAAACCACCAACCCGAAAAAAATTGCCTAATTTTGTTTTGAAATTTGAAAAAAAACTACAACCTAAAACGGGCTTTACTTAAATACTGCTTAAACTATAGATTTTTTTTTGAAATTTCAAAAAGTTGAGCATGTCAAAAGATGAAGGAGTCCAGATATATGAAATGGGTCCTGTGAACAAAGTTGTTCACGGGAAAAAAGTCTTTTACCTGAATACAATACCCTTGCTTATTGCAAGGCTAAAGATTAAGCTCCAATTATGAAACTAGAAGTCGATCAAGTTTTTCGTGACCTCCACGTTTTCGCTGTTCGATAGTGGATTTGGACGTTCTTTTAACAAATGAATTCAACCGAACTTAAAAAAAAAGTCAAATCGCGAAAAGAACATTCGAGCCTTATTTACTTTTGAAAGTTCTCCTGAAAAAAAAAAGAGAAATAAATCATCGCAATCTATATAAGATTTTGACCTACCTTCATTGACTCTCAAAAAGAAAAATTAGAACTAAGACTCCAATTAAAAACAAACTTTGAAAGTCTGAAAACAACTGCTTTGAAAGTTTTTAAGCTACAGATCGTGATCATAGCAAAAAATCCACCAAATGAGCCGTTTTATTCGCGAGTTAGCTTGGAAAAAAAGCAGTCATACTAAAAAAATACGCTCACTAGCTCGTATGTGTAAGCATTCCAACCTACGAATCCAAAAGCATTTCCACTTTAGCTCTATAAGAGCGTGACGTGAGCTGCACTTGGTTAAAAAAATTTACGTTCAAGCTTCAGTGGAAATATGCAAACCCATAAACAAACAGACCAGCAGACAAGTAGTAAAGAATCAAAGATTGCAAGTAAACAAAAAACACTTACTTGTAATTTGAAAAAAAACTAGTTTTGGATTTTCCAAGAAAAAAATAGACGTCCTTAAAACTCTTCGAGTTTCTAGAAAAATTTATGATTGACACTTCTTTGACAAAATTAACCTAACTTGAAAACACTGGATTAATAAGGTAAAAGTTTTGTTTCGATGGAAATTTGATCATGAAATTCCTTTTCGAAATTAGAAGCCGATCACGTTTTTCGTGATCTCTACACTTTTGCTGTTCAATGCTGGAGTTCGCCTTCCTTTTAACAATGGAAATGCACTGAATTTGAAAAGAAATCAAAAGACAAAAGTCAAACCGCAGAAAGTAAATTTGAGCCAGAATAAATTTTCAGACTTTTCCTTTTAAAAAAATGAAGAACCAAAGCAAATTATCGCGACCTATAAAACAGTCTGAACTACGTTCGTCTACTCTTAATTAACTTGAAAAATCAGTCTAGAATTGAAATAATCAATCAAAAAAGCCTCGGTAAAGTTGTGTTTGATTCCAGAATCTGCTACTACTGATTCCAGAATTACTATACCACTTCACCTTCGGCTATTAATTATTGCTACTTTTATAAATGCCTCCATAAAATTGGACGGGCGGCAGTGAATGCGCTTTACTTCAACCAACATAGCTCATAATAATTGAAATCAGGTAGTAGAACTAGAAACTAACCTACAGTGCTGATTTAAACTTACCGACAAATTAAAAAACAATGGCTATTTTCAATGCATTTTTAAAAGAATGGGTTCATTAACGAAATAGATAAGGCTTAAAATTGCTCAAAATTTTACCAGAATTAATATGGTATATTTTTGCGAAATTTGGACACGAAATTTGCATTTTTTGCTATAATTCAGGGTGAACTGCATAGCAAATTACATCATAGAAAACCCATGTAGCCCAAGAGAAATTTAGAAGCGCATAGCCTCTAAACTATGAGCAAAATTGTAAGATTTTTTATTAACTAACATATAGTTCGAAAAGAGTCAATGAACGCAAGTTTAAATAATATGGCCTTAAAAATCTTTGAACTTTGAGAGAACAATTGATGATTGTAACTTGTTCGCTAAAATTAACTCAATTTGAGAAAACTGGATCAATAAGTCAATTTTATGGAAAATCATCGCGAGCTATATAAGAGTCTGGACTGCGTTCACTGACTCTTAATGATCCAGCTAAACTGCCCCCAATTTATAGGTTTCGCAGCAAAGTCTTAGTAATAAGAAAAACCGCATGTTAGAATTTGTTTTTCAAACTTATTAAATTTTGTGACATTAAGCTACAAATGATTATCTATAAACAACAAAGAAATTCGAACAAAATAGAATATAATTTATCATAAAAAATGATACGATTTAACAGCATTTAGCAATTACAAGAAAGTAAAAAGGCAAGTATTTAATCGATTCACACCATGTAGAGAAATTGTTTGAAAGCTTGATGATTGCTTATTTTACTCCTGGTGACCATCTAAGTTTTAAGTCACATTTTTGAGAGATTCGGAACTGTTCGCCTCTGTTGTTGTTCTAAGTACCTGCAGTCGATGAGAACTCCGCAGCTGCTGAACCGTAGTCTTCGTCTCTGCAAATCCAAAACAAAACAAAACCATAGCCAACTGACAGTTGGAGAAATGTTAATAAGTTCGATTAAAATTGACCTAACAGTCTTTCAAAACGCTGTATTACAAATTACATCACCTCAGCCCTCTTTAAACACGGGGGTGTGGGGATTCAAAAAAAGGTCGATAACTTTGTCGAATTTTTTTTAGGTCGAAGAAATTGATTTTCTAAGCTCTCCCAAATCACTATAAAGACCCTATTTTGACAAAACTTTCTGCGCCGCATGCAAATTATGAAAAACAGACCAAAAAAGGCGTTTTCGGGCACTTTTTGCAAAAAAGTGACCAATAAAAATCGCGTTATTTCGGCGCGAGCTCAAAATTAGAATATATTGCCTTTAGAAAAATTTTTAGGGTCAGCCAAAAAAGGATATCTCAATCAAAATAGTACCTATTTTAAGGGGGATCCAATTCTAAGGGGGACCCTTTGGGTCGGCAGGGGGTCGAATCCCTAAGGGGAGGAGCGTACCACCCCCCCCCCCCCTAAATCCGCCCCTGCATGTATGTATGTAGAAAAAGCAAACCATTCAAATCATAGCCAACACACATTTGAAAGAGTCAATGAGCTGACGGGAAAAAACCGCTCGACTAGCATATTGTGATAGCTTTTCTCTCAAAAACTGAGAAACTAAGCTATCAACAAGTAAACGAAATTCCTTGTCACATAAATTGCGATCAGTCATATCCATATCCCGCCCCGACCCAGGGGCTGATTAAGAGAGGGGCGGGAGGGTGTTCAATTCCCTTTAATTCTTCGACGCCATGTCGACCCAAAGGGCCCCCCTTTGGTACACATTTACGAAGTTCTTTTTAACTAGATCCGCCCCACCCCCTCGAGAAAACACTAGATCCGCCCCACCCCCTCGAGAAAACACTAGATCCGCCCCACCCCCTCGAGAAAACACTAGATCCGCCCCACCCCCTCGAGAAAACACTAGATCCGCCCCACCCCCTCGAGAAAACACTAGATCCGCCCCACCCCCTCGAGAAAACACTAGATCCGCCCCACCCCCTCGAGAAAACACTAGATCCGCCCCACCCCCTCGAGAAAACACTAGATCCGCCCCACCCCCTCGAGAAAACACTAGATCCGCCCCACCCCCTCGAGAAAACACTAGATCCGCCCCACCCCCTCGAGAAAACACTAGATCCGCCCCACCCCCTCGAGAAAACACTAGATCCGCCCCACCCCCTCGAGAAAACACTAGATCCGCCCCACCCCCTCGAGAAAACACTAGATCCGCCCCACCCCCTCGAGAAAACACTAGATCCGCCCCACCCCCTCGAGAAAACACTAGATCCGCCCCACCCCCTCGAGAAAACACTAGATCCGCCCCACCCCCTCGAGAAAACACTAGATCCGCCCCACCCCCTCGAGAAAACACTAGATCCGCCCCACCCCCTCGAGAAAACACTAGATCCGCCCCACCCCCTCGAGAAAACACTAGATCCGCCCCACCCCCTCGAGAAAACACTAGATCCGCCCCACCCCCTCGAGAAAACACTAGATCCGCCCCACCCCCTCGAGAAAACACTAGATCCGCCCCACCCCCTCGAGAAAACACTAGATCCGCCCCACCCCCTCGAGAAAACACTAGATCCGCCCCACCCCCTCGAGAAAACACTAGATCCGCCCCACCCCCTCGAGAAAACACTAGATCCGCCCCACCCCCTCGAGAAAACACTAGATCCGCCCCACCCCCTCGAGAAAACACTAGATCCGCCCCACCCCCTCGAGAAAACACTAGATCCGCCCCACCCCCTCGAGAAAACACTAGATCCGCCCCACCCCCTCGAGAAAACACTAGATCCGCCCCACCCCCTCGAGAAAACACTAGATCCGCCCCACCCCCTCGAGAAAACACTAGATCCGCCCCACCCCCTCGAGAAAACACTAGATCCGCCCCACCCCCTCGAGAAAACACTAGATCCGCCCCACCCCCTCGAGAAAACACTAGATCCGCCCCACCCCCTCGAGAAAACACTAGATCCGCCCCACCCCCTCGAGAAAACACTAGATCCGCCCCACCCCCTCGAGAAAACACTAGATCCGCCCCACCCCCTCGAGAAAACACTAGATCCGCCCCACCCCCTCGAGAAAACACTAGATCCGCCCCACCCCCTCGAGAAAACACTAGATCCGCCCCACCCCCTCGAGAAAACACTAGATCCGCCCCACCCCCTCGAGAAAACACTAGATCCGCCCCACCCCCTCGAGAAAACACTAGATCCGCCCCACCCCCTCGAGAAAACACTAGATCCGCCCCACCCCCTCGAGAAAACACTAGATCCGCCCCACCCCCTCGAGAAAACACTAGATCCGCCCCACCCCCTCGAGAAAACACTAGATCCGCCCCACCCCCTCGAGAAAACACTAGATCCGCCCCACCCCCTCGAGAAAACACTAGATCCGCCCCACCCCCTCGAGAAAACACTAGATCCGCCCCACCCCCTCGAGAAAACACTAGATCCGCCCCACCCCCTCGAGAAAACACTAGATCCGCCCCACCCCCTCGAGAAAACACTAGATCCGCCCCACCCCCTCGAGAAAACACTAGATCCGCCCCACCCCCTCGAGAAAACACTAGATCCGCCCCACCCCCTCGAGAAAACACTAGATCCGCCCCACCCCCTCGAGAAAACACTAGATCCGCCCCACCCCCTCGAGAAAACACTAGATCCGCCCCACCCCCTCGAGAAAACACTAGATCCGCCCCACCCCCTCGAGAAAACACTAGATCCGCCCCACCCCCTCGAGAAAACACTAGATCCGCCCCACCCCCTCGAGAAAACACTAGATCCGCCCCACCCCCTCGAGAAAACACTAGATCCGCCCCACCCCCTCGAGAAAACACTAGATCCGCCCCACCCCCTCGAGAAAACACTAGATCCGCCCCACCCCCTCGAGAAAACACTAGATCCGCCCCACCCCCTCGAGAAAACACTAGATCCGCCCCACCCCCTCGAGAAAACACTAGATCCGCCCCACCCCCTCGAGAAAACACTAGATCCGCCCCACCCCCTCGAGAAAACACTAGATCCGCCCCACCCCCTCGAGAAAACACTAGATCCGCCCCACCCCCTCGAGAAAACACTAGATCCGCCCCACCCCCTCGAGAAAACACTAGATCCGCCCCACCCCCTCGAGAAAACACTAGATCCGCCCCACCCCCTCGAGAAAACACTAGATCCGCCCCACCCCCTCGAGAAAACACTAGATCCGCCCCACCCCCTCGAGAAAACACTAGATCCGCCCCACCCCCTCGAGAAAACACTAGATCCGCCCCACCCCCTCGAGAAAACACTAGATCCGCCCCACCCCCTCGAGAAAACACTAGATCCGCCCCACCCCCTCGAGAAAACACTAGATCCGCCCCACCCCCTCGAGAAAACACTAGATCCGCCCCACCCCCTCGAGAAAACACTAGATCCGCCCCACCCCCTCGAGAAAACACTAGATCCGCCCCACCCCCTCGAGAAAACACTAGATCCGCCCCACCCCCTCGAGAAAACACTAGATCCGCCCCACCCCCTCGAGAAAACACTAGATCCGCCCCACCCCCTCGAGAAAACACTAGATCCGCCCCACCCCCTCGAGAAAACACTAGATCCGCCCCACCCCCTCGAGAAAACACTAGATCCGCCCCACCCCCTCGAGAAAACACTAGATCCGCCCCACCCCCTCGAGAAAACACTAGATCCGCCCCACCCCCTCGAGAAAACACTAGATCCGCCCCACCCCCTCGAGAAAACACTAGATCCGCCCCACCCCCTCGAGAAAACACTAGATCCGCCCCTGCCCCGACCTGTAAAGGGAGAGATTTGTTACTAGGTACAAAATTCGCATATGCTTAACCGTGTAATTATTTCATTATAGGGGTGGCAATTCGTTAGTAGGTTCCAAAGGGTGGGACAATGGTTGAAGAGATCGGTTTTTTGTGTATAAAGATTTGGATTTTCTTTAACTCTATCCTTCCTTCCTTCCTCCCTCCCCACCGAAACCTAGTAATGAATATCGCCCCATAAAGAATTAAATCAACGGTTAAGCACATGAAAATTTTACACCTAGTAGCCCAGTCCCGACTCAAATTGGTATGGTGAAAAATGGGACGGTATCTCGTTAACTATCACCCCTATTGCAATAGGGGGGCTATTCTTTACAAGGTTTGGATAAACACTTTCGAGATAACGCCAACCAACTTTAACAAAATTTGAACTTTGTGTTTCGATTTTTATGCTAATCGATACGATTTTCATTATAAAAACTTTTATGATTGTCGAGCTTTATGCTAGTCGATACACAGCCAAAATATTGACTCGTTTGATCGGCATTTTTTAGAAACAATTAATCCAATATGAGAAAACTGGGTCAATAGATAAATTTTTTATTCCACTGGGAAATCTGCAAACCAGCATCCACATTTGAAACTAGAAGTCGATCACGTTTTTAGTGCCCTTCGCACTTTTGCTGTTCGATAGTCGAGTTTGCTTTCCTCTTAAAACACGAAATGAATTGAACTTAAAAAGAAATCCAAAGTCAAAATGCAAAAAACTAAAGCTGAGCGTGAACAAATTTTAAGACTGCGTTTCTCGACTTCTAAAGAGCAGCTCTACTACAATCAGCCAACTACTTGAATATCTCGAGCTGATAAAGCTTGATATGATACTACTGTTATGGGCAACTAAAATCTTCATTAAAAGGAAATGAGTTCATTTTGCTTTCAGCTGCATGGTTACGTAGCAGTATTTGGACAACCCAGTAAGCAAACAAATACTATATTAAACAATCAGAATCGAGATGAGAAACCAAACTTACGAAATAAATAATTATTAACTTATTCATTGTCACGATTCTAATTGGTTAATATAGAGCTTATCTGCTTTCTGACGAGTATGAATACCCGGTTCTCTAAATACAGACAACCCTCCCAGCTTTATGTATAACGATTAAAAAGGTGAAACTAACGATGCTCGCATTGATGATTTCATTCAATACCTGATCTGGTAGCTCATTTAGCATCTAATGAAAAAAATACAAACTTTTATTAAAATTTATCACATTTTCCGCAAGAACATTAACTAGCACGCAAAATTGTATCATTGAATAGATTTTCAAAAAACGATTAAAAAGGTGAAACTAACGATGCTCCCATTGATGATTTCATTCAATACCTGATCTGGTAGCTCATTTAGCATCTAATGAAAAAAATACAAACTTTTATTAAAATTTATCACATTTTCCGCAAGAACATTAACTAGCACGCAAAATTGTATCATTGAATAGATTTTCAAAAAACTTTCGTCCAAAAAGGCAACTGCAAAAAAATACATGCTCGGATAACAAGAATAGCCGATCGCTATGGAAATAGGACAGCACGCATGTACTACAAGTTTCTTTGCAAAACAAAACAAAGCAAACAGACAGTGAGCTAAGCGAGACCTAAAAAATGACTTTTTTATACAAACTGTTTCAGAAAACTGTGCCAATAAAGAATTTTTATATTCAGTTTGAAACTTAAAATCTAATTTTTACATTAGAAAGCATTCAATTTTTTTGCACCATTTGAGCCTTTGTTAATCGAACTTATCAAGAAATATCAAGCTTGAGCTCTCAACAATCAGTGTCTTCGCTTTATTCATTGAGACTTCAAATAACAAACCAGGCGATCTAAATACATAAGACTTGTTTTCGATCATCAACGTTGAATAAGAATTTGCAACAACTTACTCGGAGGTGAACTCGGATCTCTCCATCCCGTTGTTTCCACTCACATCTAGCATCCGATCCTCCTCATCGTCTTCGCTATTCATAAGAGAAGCCCCGTCTACGTCATCCTCTTCGTCGCTCAAGTAGAAACTCTGTGGAAAACAATTTGGCAGTGGTAACATTTTAGAATAATTGTCAATTTGAGAAAACATTTTCATTGAGCATGTGTAGTGATAAATAGCTATAATTTATACTGCCATTTTCATTATTGTTATTTCTTCTGATATGTAATACGACTTAGAACATTTCGTTTTATTTTCAAAAAAAGTAACAAAGCTTTCCGTATCATTAACTTTTTTCCCATTGGGCATGAACTTTTCAAATTCTGCCTCTTTTTCCGTTTCTCCAAGCAACCATAAACTTCCAAACTCATGGTGTAAGCAGCAATTTTTAAGGATATTTATAAATAGCTCGAAAATAATTGGTGTAAAATGTAGAAACTTTTTTTTAAAAAAAATTGATTACGTGATCGAGAGATTATGCAATAAAAATGATGGTGAGGAAGATGAAGAATAGACGCGTCCAAATGTGCTATTTGTCGTTCTTATGTATCTTACCGAGTCAGCTGAGGCGTTATTTGCGTTGTTCATCTCCTGTAGAGATCTCTGAAGAAGCTGGATTCTCTGGGCGGCCACGTTTAACTCCTGTTTCAGGCTGCCATTAGTCTCCTCCATGTCTCCTAACTGGCGCTCCTTAAGCATTGCTTTTTTTAAGGTTTTCAAAATGGGTTTTGTGAAGTCTATTCAGAGCTTTCAAAAATTTACTGCCAGAACTAAATTATTCTCAAAAAAATCTACTGGGTAAGAAAGACGTCACCCAATAAGCTGAAAATTAAGAGAACGTTCTTGTCGAGAAAAAACAACATTGGAAGAACTTGTATCTACCGCTTACGATCGATTGCTGAAAATAGACAAACTAATTAACGCGTACAAATACGTACTGCATGGAATGCATGCGTCACAAAATGACGCAAGGTCCGGAAATCTGAACAAACTTCTTTAGGAAAAAAACTAAACCCGGTTGCAAAATCCTTACTTAACTTAAGTGTTATAACAAACAGAATAACTTTTTTGTAGTGGGGTGATTGAAAAAGGAATAAATTAAAATCAAGAACATAGCCAACAGACAGTTGAAAAAGAGTCAATAACGCAAGTAAACAAAAAAAAACTGACGTGTTTTTTGAAAAACTTTCAGCTTTCGAAGAAAAAACAAATGACCTTTGGGCTCTTTAAATTTCTAGAACAATGTATGATTGAGTCTTTTTTGATAAACACTTTCCCAATTTGAGAAAACTGGATCAATAGGTAACATTTGTATTTCGCTAGAAAATCTGTGATCAAATGCCAATTTCCAAATGGGAAATCTATAATGTTTTTGGTGACCTTTACAAAATCGCTGCTCGATTTTTGATTATTTAAGAGTGCTCACTCCTGAACATGACCAACACTATGAGCACAATCAAATTAAAGCATTCTAAAAAAAATTGTATGATTCACTTTTTTCCGTAAAGCTAAATCAACTAGAAAAAAATGGGTCAAAAAGACATGTCCTATGTCGTTGAAAAGTCTTAAATATAAATTCCACTATCGAAACTGCATGTCATTCACTTTTTTCGCACATTTGTTCATTGGTGGTTGGATGGCGTGATTTGCCTTTCATACACGGAAATCAGAATATCAAACCTAATAATTCATTAATAATTAAACCTGAGGACCGCAAAAAAGCCGCAGAATTTATTTGGAAACAAAAAAACATAGCGAACAAAAAATTGGAAAAGAGTCAAGGAACGCAAGTAAACAGAAAAAAATCCTGACTTGTTTTTTGAGACACCTGATTTTTCGAATTTCCAAGAAAAAAAAATAGATGGCCTTTAAACTATAACAACTTATGATTTGACACTTTTTTGGATTAAACTAACTCAATTTGATGAAACTGAATCAATAAAGTAAACTTTTCATTTAGCTGTGAAATCTGAAAATAAATTCCACTTTTGAACCTTTACACTTTTATTATTCAATAGCGGAATTTGCCTTGATTTTACACAGAGGCGAAGTTGCACTTCGCATACACCAGCAAAAATATGACCGATAACGCTACCGTGGAACACTGAATGAGTAAAACTTTGAGGCTACAAAATTTCTTAAGTGACGCACGCCAATTATGAGTCTGCAAAATTGCTAAGTGACGCGAGCCAATTATGACGCATTAGCAGTACTAGTGAATTTGAAAAATAAAACAAATTTACCAACCAATCTACCTCAATTTATAGAGCATTTCACTAGTATACGAAAAAGTTCATTAAAAACATCCGACCCTGCCCGGGTTCGAACCCTCTTATTTTGTTGCGGGTCTCCTTCCCTACCTCTACGCTACAGATCCTTGATACCTTGAAGCCAAAATGCTATTTCTAATATAACAGTCTGTGTTAAAATCCTTAGCATGTCTGTACTTAATAGCTGGTTATAGATCAAAATGAACACAATTTGTGGCAACAATATTTGCGACTTAGGTTGAAAAAAAGAGAGTTCATACTATAACACAAGCTTCGCATGTGTAAACAAAGGAAATTGACTGAACTTAGAAACCAAAAGTCAAACCGTGAAAAATTATATTTGAGCCTGAACAAATTTTGAGACTTTTCCTGAAAAAAAATCAACACGACCTATATAATAGCCTGAACTACGTTCATCGCCTCTGAAACACATAGCCAACAGAAATTTATGAAATAATCACTGAACGCAAGTAAACAAAAAAATACTGACTTGTTTCATGAAAAACTCTTCGAATTTCTTACATAAAATAGATGGCCTTAAAGCTCTTGAATTTCTAAAAACAATTTTGGTTGACACTTTTTTTGATAAACTTAATTCAATTTGAGAACACTGGATCAATAAATAGAGTTTACATTTCGCTCGGAAATCTGAAAAACTAATTCTATTTTCGAAATGAGAAGTCGACTACAGGTTTTTGACTTTTCATCACCTTTCATGAAAAAAATCATCTCTACCTATAGAAGTGTCTGAACTACTTTAATAGACTCTTAATCGTCGGATTTTCCTATTTTTGCCTGTGTGTTAAACTTAAAAATTGACTTACAAGGTCATGTTTCTTGGTTTGACTCTGTTCGTACTTGGACTCTACTGCCAGTAAATCATCCTTCACATCTCTTATCTGGTTGTTCAGCTTCTTGATAGTCTCTTCCTTCTGTTTCTGGGCAGCCAACAGGGCATCCACTTCTTCAGAGTGCTTGTCCGACTGTGCTTTTAGCCGACTGATCTGATTGTCGCACTTGACTCTCAGTGCCTTTTCCACTCCGAGACTACGCTCCACTTCTGTTGCCTAAATGGCCAGGATATACTTTGGGAGCGGTATAAACCACAAAACTATAGTTCCCACTTAATAACTCTGGTTCGAGTAACGCTCGGGATATTTTAAAATGGTGAAACTTACTCAATTATATCGGGTGCGACAGTTCAATCGACTCCTCATTCAATAGAAAACAACAAATAAGGGATGCATTCACAATAATCAAAACAATTCAGAGCCACCTGTCGTGTCACATGTCACACCCTTGTATGCAGGGTAAGTTCGCTCTGCGATTGTGTTTGATAGGAACAGTTAGATACACCATGTGATGAGTTATCCGTATGCTTACTCTGCTTTCGGCTCTGAGCAACAGCGCTTTGTCAGTAGATGTGGCTTGTATCTGGCTGCACTTTGACTGCAGTCCCGATAGTTGCTCCTCCTTGTCTGCCAGATTGCGTCTCACTTCAGCCAACTCAGTAGTCAGAGAATGGATCGAATTGCGGTCTATTGCTGCCTGAAACAAAATGATAAAGAACATAGCAAACACAAGGTTTAAAAAGTGTATGATTGAAAATTTGTTCAACACTTTTCAATTTTCGAAGAAAAAAATATCTCAGGTTGAAGTAATTTGAATTTCAAGAACAAGTTGTGATCAACTTTTTTTGATAAAATTAACCCAATTTAAGAAAACTAGAACAATGGTTTAACTTTTGATTCAGCTGGAAATTTTTTTATTCCGCAAGTTTACAGCTAAAAACTTATAAAAATAACTAAAAATTAGTTCGGGAGATTGAATAAAAAATTGACTATTTTCCAGAATATTTAAATAGAAAATTCTCTTGGATATTATATTATGACATCCATTTTAGGCCGACCAACCCAAAAACTTTCCTAATTTGGCCGTAAAAATTGGCGCCAATATATACTAATTCTGAAGGGGAGCACGCGACGAAAAAAGGCATTGTTTTTGATCAAAAGGCATTTTTGACCCGTTTTTTTTTGAAAAATTTGCCTGCGGAGCAACAGATTTGGTCAAAATAGAGACTTAATTGTAATCTTAGAGCGGGTCTCCTCCCCTCGAGAAAATCCTATATACACCCCTGTCCACACTGAATAGGGCTATCGAAAATAGTATGTACTTCAAACCTTCATTAACCAGAGACAGCGGTTCGATATCAGTTTTCAGGGACAATGAAAAGTTACAAGCTACAAGTCAGAGAAGAAATTATTGTGCCGGAAACGAACCTCTAAATTCAAGTTCTAGCATCTGCGCATAGGCCGCATGAAAATTTACCAACACTATCTAACAATAAAGCAGGTACAGTTTCTATTACATTGCCAATGCTATGCAGCATAACCAAATAAAAAAACTAACTCAATGTGCCGAAATTAAACTTCAAACCTGTAGATTAGGAGTCTCACTTACTCGCATCTGCGCTAAGTCGCTTGAAAAACATCTGGGTCTCAGCTAAACCTGAAGGTATCTCTTGGACAAATTTGAAAAAAAAAATCAAATGTGAAACATAATAATGCGTTATTTAAAAAAATGTAACAAAAGTTTAAATATTAAACAATGAGCTTTTGCAGGGGAAATCAGTAAAACATCTGATTTCGATTGATTCCCTTATTTGAGAATTGGCACAGCCATTTTTGGAATATTAAACGAAGTCCAAACAATGGGCCAAAAGGTCAAAAATTAATTAAGCCCATGGCTGACTCCGTACCAAAATTGGGAGAATATTTCAAAAAGTAGACATTTTTTAAGTTAAACTATTTTTTCTTTAAAAAAATAGTGCATAATTGCTTACTCGGACAAAACTGCAGCCACTTTGTCTTTCCATTCATTCCTTAATCTCAGATTTGACAGGGTAGTCTTCAAAATTAGACAATTTCTATGACTATAACTCTTTTCCATAAAAATTAAGGACGTAGCCGTTTATGCGGCGAGGATTCTATACACCAGTTCTTGCGATTGAACCCTTCATCTCAGATTTTTGAAGGGTAGTTTTCGAGAAAAAAAAGAATTTTTTCAAAAACAATATAATTTTGGACAATTTCTAAGGCCATAACTCTTTTTCTACAAGAACAAGGGCGTAGCAGCTTATGCAGGGAGAGATCTTTTGATTGAATTTTTAATCTCAGATTTGTTAGTTTAATTTTTGAGAAAAATAATCCAAAAACTTGGGCCAAAATCCCTACTGAAAGTTTCGAGGGCCATTGGGTACGGTAGAAAAAAGACTGGCGTAATTTGCGGCACACAGGGAAGTAGCCAATCTTTCCACCACTTTTATGGAAAAAAATGGTGCCACCAAAAGCAGCACCAATATTTGCGATTTAGGTTGAAAAAGTGGCCTTGTAGAATCACACTACGCTCTGCTTGAGTGAAAATCTATCAGTTCAGTTTTACCAACTAAATAAAAACCATTCAATTGACCGGACTCTCTTAATTACACCTTCTGCTGCGGTAAGTTTACTTTTAAAAGCTTAAAAATTGAAAATATTTTGTTTTTTTTTTGAAAAACTTTAGCTTTCATTTCTTTTCTTCTTTCTGCTCTAGACAAGATAACTGTACACAATTAGAAACAAGGATAGCCGGTTACTGTGCAAGTAGCACAGAATGTTCCAACCATCGTCTTAAAAACACAGAAAAGTTTAAATTATGATTAAAATGAAATATACCAAAGTGCCACCAAATGAGCACTTTTATTTGCACCTTAGATTAGAAAAAATTCTTCGTAATAATACACAAAGCTTCGCTTGTGTACTATTATTTTATTTGGGCAATAAATAATGTTTAGGGCGAGTCAATAAAGTGCACCTACTTCTGCGATGACATTTCTCAATTTTCTCTCCAATCCGGCCATGTCCTCCTCCGCCTCTTCCAGTTGAGTCTCCAGTTCAGACTTGTCGGACATCAAAATAGACGTCTTGTCCTCCATCGCGTAGTACTGCGACTTCCACTGGTCCAGCTAAAAACATCACATACAAACACTTAATACATCCGTCAATATATTGTTAAACAAAATGCATAGGCAGCCATGTTACAGCGCAGTGCAGATTCTTTTTACTCAATGGCGCCAAAAAGAGCACCCAATCATAAACCTTATATTTTATTACAACAAGTTTATTAGAGGCATCTTTCTTTCTTTCTTTTTTTCTTTCTATATTCATGATTTCACATAAAGTGCTAAATTAAAGGCAGCTTTTATAAAGAGTGAATATTGGAATGAGATGGTTGATTTGTACGCCACTTGATTTTTTCATAGTTATATTAACTTAATTACATGCGAGACTTCTATAAATAATCCAGTTGCAATCAGCTTCTTACTTGATTAAGATGAATTCTTGATGGCTTCTGGCTTTGAGCACTTATGTAAGAACTATTCCATTTAATTGTCTTTTTGCGTTGCTTTCATTTTACCACAAAACAAAAAAATCATGATTATACAGCTAATGATTGGCTACTGCTTTTTTCAACCTTGAAATTTAGCCATTTAAATTTGATCTCATTGTGATGAAAAATGTTGAATGAATTTTGCAGTTGTTGAATAGATTTTCAGCTGATGAATAGTTCGGTCTACATCCTAGTCGTTTCGAGTCTAAATGTTTAATTGTTTCGAAAATTTAACTAATTGATTGCAAATCTTTTAAAGCTGCTAACAGTACTGTTAAAAGCTTCATGAATTCAATGAAACTTTGATAACTTTTCTTACGGCAGAATCGCTCTGTAACATCACAACATGAATAGTTTTTCATTGGTATTGATAAGGAATGAGGGGGTGGGGGGGGGGGGGGGTGTGTTTAGGAAATTAGACGAGAAGCAAATTAGACGAATCCAAAAAAACGGAATTTAGACGTTAAATTGTTTTTGCAAAACTAGCATTTTAGACGGAAAGCTAAGGGCTAACAAAACTTATTGTTTAAAACAAGTTTTCATAATTACAAAAATAGTACATGATCCCATTGCATATCAAAAAACATTTATCGCAATTGATTTATAAAACGTTTATCTCAATATTATAAAATATTTTTGAAATGCATAAGTTATACAATTGCGGTATGTGAAAATTGCGGAATGTGAAATTTGCGGCATTTGAAAAGTTGATTTGCAATTAAGAAAGCTCGAACGAAAGTTAATTGTAGTCAGTAAACAAATTTTAGACACGAACAATACAATTACGTCTAATTTCGAATATCTGTAATTTTTCATCGTCGTCTAAATTAGTTTTTATTGATCGCGTCTAACTTGCTTTTCGTCTAATTTCCTAGGCCCCAGGAATGAGTGATGCATTGATAAAACTTAGGCATTGAATTGATTTCTAGAGAAAAGAACCGAATTTCTAACTAGACGTGCTTCAATGCAAACTTCAATTCGGACCAAGTTAACACCCCCCCCCCCCCAAAAACTGTTTGGGGGGGGGGCGGGGGGTAGGATGTTAACTTGGTTCTAAGTTGGGAGTTTTCAGCCAATCAGAGTCGAGCATTTTACATGAAGCGCTTAGCAAATTTAATGCGAATTATTTGCTGGGATGGAAGATCTCAACTTGGTCTATCTAGGGGGTAGGATGTTAACTTGATCCTTCAATTCTTCTCTAGGAGTCGGATTGCACCATTTGTTAACGGAAAAATATAAGCTTCGAGCGGACTAATGTGCACATGACCAGTATTGATGAGCCATAAATTGAAATGCGCTGAGTCAATTTATCTCATACTGCGAAGGATACTATTGCTAACCAAATCTAAGAACTGCCTCTAATTTTAACATAGAAGTGAAGTTGGACTTTGCTAATATACGCGAGAAACAAGCATAGAGAAGCACTAGAAAATAACCAGTGAAAAAAGTTTAAAAAAGCCTTGAAAATTGAAACTGTGCCGGAATCAAAACTCCCGCCTGTACATTAGGAGTCTTTCCTTCTTGCATCTGCGCCACACTCGCTTGACAATAGGCTGACACAAGCCATCAATAAAAAAAACAGAACACAGCCAACAAACAGTTGGGAAAAGTCAATGCGCGCAAGTTAACAAAAAAATTCTAACTTGTTTTTTGAAAAACCTCTTTCGAATTACAAATATATGACCTTAAAACTCTTTGAATTCCTAGAACAATTTATGATTGACATAGTTTCGATAAATTAACCGAATTTGAGAAAACTGGATCAATAAGTAATTGTTTCATTTTGCTAGTGAACCTGAGTGAAAAATAAAGTCGAAGTAAACGTGAAAAATAAAGTAAACGCGAACAAGTAAATTTGAGCCTCAACGAATTTTAGACTGAAAAAAAATCATCACGACCTATTTAAGAGTCTGAAATAAATTATCGAATCTTAAACAGATGCTTTCAAATTATCAATGCTCTATAGCAAAAAAAAACTTCCCACTTGAGTTGTAAAAAAGTGCTTTTGTAATATAACAATTTGCTCACTAGATCGTTTGTGTAATTATAACACATAGGTCAGACTGTACTTCGCAAACACACGCAAAAAAGCCAGGATGTACCTTAACAAGAAAAAAAAGAGAAAAAATATAAAAACTAATGAATACTGAAAACCAAAAAACCTCAACGGGAATTGAAGCTCATTCCTCGTATATTCAAGTTTTCCAGTTGACTGCTCTACAAAACTGGGCTAATGACTCTTATAGAAGCCAAGACAAACAAGAAAGTGACAAAAGTTAGGTTGAAAATGCACAAAAACATCAAATTTGCATGTTAAAAAGTGGAAAGTATAAAGTCAAATTGTGTTTAAATTATGTATTTCAAAAACTTGGCAAAACATCCAGAGTTGTAGAAATTCCGAGAAAGAGTTTTGTTATTGTACTCTTGTGTGAAACTAACAGCCTTCATCGGCGAAAGCAAATTAATTAAATTAATTTAATCGAAGGCACGATTAAATAGCCAATTCCGCCTCCTACTGTACAAAAAACCAAAAGTAACACTAATAATTGCGACAAAGGTTTAGAAAAAAGTAGCAATTTAGCTCCGCTTGTCGATACAGGCAACTTGTAGTATCAAAATATCGGCAACAGAAACTAAGAAAAAAAAGCCAATGAAAGAAAGTAAGCCAATAAAATACTAACTTCTTTTTTGAAAAAATCTCAATTCCCCAACTTTAAGAAAAAGTTTGCCTTTACAGCTCTTCGATTGTCAGATGAACTTCTAATTGAATTTTTTGATAAAACTGAACAAAAAAAATCATCACGAACTAGAAAAAGAAGTCTGAACTACGTTTATAGTCTCTTAAAAACTGAATCAATTTTTTTTATTCCTGGTACTTTTATTCTTGGTACTTAATCAGTGCTTTTTTATTCTAATGGGAAACCTTCAAAAAAATAATATGCACTTTGAAACTAAAAAGTTTACACGTTTTTTAGCGCCATCACTTTGGTACTTCAAACATGAACTTTGTCTTTCTTTCAGCAAATGATTTGAATAGAACGCAAAAGAGCAAAAATGCATAAGTGCATTAATATGTATGAAGGCACTTCTGATATTATCAGAGCATTATCGCGACCTGTATAAGTCTCTTTACTATATTCATTAACATTTAAACATAGCCAACAGAAAGCTGAAAAAGTGTTAATCAAATCAAAAACACCGGAAATGATAGTTTTTTGAAAGATTTTCAGCTTACCAAATTTAGAGAAGTAAATACATAACTAACCCGATTAAAAAACCTGAGTCATTAGATAAGTTTTTCATTCCGATGTGAATTCAAAAAATTAAGTTCAATTTTGAAACTAAATTTCAGTCACGTTTCTTCGTTCCATTTCCAATTTCGTATTCCAGTTCTGCCTTCCAGTTAGCAAATGTATTTAAACGAAAATATAAATTAAAGTTTGACAAAACAAAAACAACAAGACCTAAGAAAAGTGTCTTCAATTTGTTTCTTGACATTTTATCACTTCAAAAGTAACTAAAAGTATCCCAAATAGCGAGAGAAAAAAACAAGACTTTCAATTGATTACACAAGCTCTCGTAAACTCGAAATGCAATCAAATTCCGGAATTAGAGCTTGTTTTGGGTTGTGTGTTGTGTACTGATATATATCTATATATATAAACATACAATCAGAGCATCAAAATCTGAGATTTGGAGAGGAGAGACAACGGGATCCTACGATCCACTGTGTAAGGGCAGACGAGTCTCTGCCCTTACAGGCTATATAAATTAGGTGAAAACTAAACAAAATAACCAATGAAAAAAATTCTTTCACATTTAGATTTCAGAAAAAATCGATTTCAAAACTTGGGGAAAATTGTGTTCACATCTATGAGTCGCTTGTTATTACATAGCTAGTTTTCATAAGATGAAATGATTGAAAACTTTTTTTTCAGAAATTTAGGAAATTTTTTTGAAATTTTTTATTGAGAAGTTAATATTTCGTACAAACAAACATGGGAGTCATCATAAGGCAATTGCCCGTCAATGTAACACCTATGAACAAAGATTCGCCGCTCCTAGAGTAGCAGCAACAATGCTAACCTCCTGCTGTATGTCCTGTAGTTCCCTTTGTAAAGATGCTTTGGAGGAGAGCGCGGCATCGGCGGTATCTCTCGCCTCCTCTAGTTGGTGTCTGAGACTCCTGTTCTCCCTCTTCGCACTAGTGCACTGTTCACTCATCCCATCCAGCATGCCCTGCATCTCACTCAACTGGGCTCTCGCTCGCACCAGTTGCTTCTGCAGTTTCCGCTCACGCTCAATGTCACCTGAAGAGAACAAATCCAGCTCTTTATTATTGAAAACTTAAATGCTTTAATGCAATCAAAAACATTTTATTACGATAACAAAAAATGATTCTTTGAGCCTTAAATAATGTCAACAAAAACAGGAACAATGCGCTGTCCCCCCGAACAGCTACGGATGTTCAAATTTCGTTTCCGTTCGACAAAATTGATAGTTTTGAGCTCCCTCAAAACGCTCTCATCTTCTTTTAGCAAAGTCTTCACCGATCACAAGCAAATATTATAAACATGCCAAAACGCCTACTTCTGGAAAAAATTCGGTAAACTTTGGCAAATAATTGAAACTCTTTTTACATGTGTTGTCATTCAAATTTTTATTTTTGAAAAAGAGTCTTTCTGCAAAGGAGGATTCTTGTGAAACCTGGGGGTCCAAGCCAGCAGGACCAATGACCGCAAAATAATACACAGAGGCAAAGCTTTACTTCGCAAACACTAGCGAGAACACGACAAAAAGCAGCTCTATAAAATGCCAAATAAAAATTAGAAATAAGCCTCGAATTAGTAAAAAAAAAATCGTCTACGTCTGAGATTCGAACCTGCAACCTAGTGTCTCACACACTAACCACTTAGCAATGGAATCTTAATTGGTACCAAACACTAGCCACAAGTAAAGCAAAGAACAGATGCTACGCAATGTTCAATGCTACGGTGAAATTTCCAAATAAGTGAACAATTTTATTTGCGAGTTAGGTTAGATAAAAGAAGGTTCGTAATAATACACTAAGCTGATCGAAGGTGTGATAAGCCATAAAAACTTGACAGAATTAAGTTGGAAAATCGAGTCTATTTTGCATTTTGGACTTATTGAAGGACGCCGACGTTTGGTTCCTCTGTCATGAAAATGAACACCTGTAATCTGACCAACCTGAGTTCTTGGATAAGGACTCGCTTTTGATCTTCCGTTCCAGTTCCAACTTCTCCCTGTAGATGATCTGTCTCTCGTGGATCTCATCGTCCAACTGACTCTCTAAGCTCCTCACTTTTTTCACGTAATTCTGCTTGCCCTGTTCGAACTCCTCTTCTCTCATCTCCAACTCTCTGGTAAGATCACTCCTGACTTTGCCCATCTCCATCTCTAGCCTTAACTTGGCAGCCTCCAGTCCCGATACTTCGCCCGCCAGTTCATCCAGCTCGTCCTCTTGATCTGATATTCAAACCACAGTATTTTAATTACATTTGAATGAGTAAACTTCTCTTAAAACCTCTTTCAAAAGCTTAATATACTAACAAAACTTTCCGTCCGTCAAAGCAAGGAGGTTGGCTGTAAAATATTAAAAAATCGAGTTGAAAAAAAACTCTTAAAGAATGTTCATAATTACATTCATATGTTACAGGAACCGAGTTATTTAAAAGTAGTTATCTTATTGCAGAAGAAGCATACTCGTATTATAGATCAAGGATACTGGTTAGTATAGCTTGACAGGCGATACAGAAAAGTTAAAAACAAGATTTAAAACCACCCACTTTTATGTAGTACATTCACGTTCTATCACGAAATAAGAGTTCAGTAAGAGTAATTATCTTATTGCAGATCAAGGAAATTATTTAGAAAAGCAAAGCCAGATACACAGAAAGGCTGTAAACAAGAATTAAAAAGCCCAATTCCATGTAGTGTATTCTTTTATCCACGAAAAGAAGTTATTTTCCAGTAGTTACTTTTATTGCAGATCAAGGATGCTGGTTAGGAAAGCCTAGCCAGAGATACAGAAATGCTTTATACAAGAATTGAAAAGCCAATTTTTTGTACTACATTCACGGTCTTCCATGAAAAGAAGTTTTGTATCAGTAGTAATTATATTGCAGATCAAGGATACTGGTTAGGAAAGCCTAGCCAGAGATACAGAAATGCTTAATACGAGAATTGAAACGCAATTTTTTGTACTACATTAATCTTCCTCTATGAAAAGAGAGTTTTGTATACTAGTTATGTGTTGCTGATCAAGGACACTGGTTAGGAACGAGCAGCCAGTAATACAAAAAAAATATACACAAGAAAGAAAAAGCCCATTTTTATGTACTACATTCACGTTCTTCCATGAAAAGAAGTTTTGTATCAGTAGTAATTATATTGCAGATCAAGTATACTGGTTAGGAAAGCCTAGCCAGAGATACAGAAATGCTTAATACAAGATTTGAAAAGCAATTTTTTGTACTACATTCAAGTTCTTCCATGAAAACAAGTTTTGTATCAGTGGTAATGGTGGTGCTGATCAAGGACACTGGTTAGGAACGAATAGCCAGCAAAACAAAAAATCATACACAAGAAAGAAAAAGCCCATTTTTATGTACTACATTCATGTTCTTCCATGAAAAGACGTTATGTATCAGTAGTAATTATACTGCATATCAAGGATACTGGTTAGGAAAGCCTAGCCAGAGATACAGAAATGCTTAATACGAGAATTGAAAAGCAATTTTTTGTACTAAATTAATCTTCCTCTATGAAAAGAGAGTTTTGTATACTAGTTATGTGTTGCTGATCAAGGACACTGGTTAGGAACGAGTAGCCAGTAATACAAAAAAAATATACACAAGAAAGAAAAAGTCCATTTTTATGTACTACATTCACGTTCTTCCATGAAAAGAAGTTTTGTATCAGTAGTAATTATATTGCAGATCAAGTATACTGGTTAGGAAAGCCTAGCCAGAGATACAGAAATGCTTAATACAAGAATTGAAAAGCAATTTTTTGTACTACATTCAAGTTCTTCCATGAAAACAAGTTTTGTATCAGTAGTAATGGTGTTGCTGATCAAGGACACTGGTTAGGAACGAATAGCCAGCAATACAAAAAAATATACACAAAAAAAAGCCCATTTTTATGTACTACATTCATGTTCTTCCATGAAAAGACGTTATGTATCAGTAGTAATTATATTGCATATCAAGGATCCTGGTTAGGAAAGCCTAGCCAGAGATACAGAAATGCTTTATACAAGAAATGAAAAGCCAATTTTATGCACTACCCTAATGTTCTTCCATGAAAAGAGTTTTGTACAGAGTGACCACTTTTTTGAGCGAAAAATAGTGACTATGACAATTTTCTAATTTTTGTCGAAATTTTTTTAGATCGACCAAATTAATTTTTCAAGCTCTGCCAAAGCACTAAAAAAAATCCCTGTGTTGGCCAAAATTTCTGCGCCGGAGGCATAATTTTGAATAAACCGGCTGAAAAATTGCGTTTTTTCGGCGCGCGCTCCCCCCTCAATATTAGTACATATTCGCGCCAAAGGCGCATTTAGAAAAATTTTAGGGTCCGTCACCAAAAACCGTTGTAAATTGTGACTTTTAGTGGCCATTGAAAAAAAAGTGACCAATTAGTGACCAATAGTGACTTGTCACTAAAATAATGACCAAGTGGTCACCCTGGTTTTGTATCACAAGTTATGGTGTTGCAGATCAAGGTCACTGGTTAGAAACGAATAGCCAGCAATACAAACAAGCTTTACACAAGAAAGAAAAAGCCAATTTTATGTACTACAATTACTTTCTCCCATGAAAAGAAGTTTTGTATCAGTAGTAATTATATTGCAGATCAAGGATACTGGCTAAGAAAGCCTAGCCAGAGATACAGAAAAGCTATTTACAGGAATTGAGAAGGCCCTTCAAATGTACTACTTTCGCATTCTTCCATGAAAACGGAGGTAAGTATCATCAATGATGTTATTGTAGGTCAAGGATACTGGTTAGGAAAGCCTAGTCTGAGATAATGAGTTGCTTAATACAAGAACTGAAAAGCAATTTTTTGTACTACTCTAATCTTTCTCTATGAAAAGAGAGTTTTGTACCAGTAGTTATGGTGTTGCTGATCAAGGACATTGGTTAGGAACGAATAGCCAGCAATACAAAAAATTATACACAAGAAAGAAAAGCCCATTTTTATGTACTACATTCATGTTCTTCCATGAAAAGACGTTATGTATCAGTAGTAATTATATTGCAGATCAAGGATACTGGTTAGGAAAGCCTAGCCAGAGATACAGAAATGCTTAATACGAGAATTGAAAAGCAATTTTTTGTACTACATTAATCTTCTTCTATGAAAAGAGAGTTTTGTATCAGTACTTATGGTGTTGCTGATCAAGGACACTGGTTAGGAACGAATAGCCAGCAATACAAAAAATTATACACAAGAAAGAAAAGCCCATTTTTATGTATTACATTCATGTTCTTCCATGAAAAGACGTTATGTATCAGTAGTAATTATATTGCAGATCAAGGATACTGGTTAGGAAAGCCTAGCCAGAGATACAGAAATGCTTAATACAAGAATTGAAAAGCAATGTTTTGTACTACATTCAAGTTCTTCCATGAAAACAAGTTTTGTATCAGTAGTAATGGTGTTGCTGATCAAGGACACTGGTTAGGAACGAATAGCCAGCAATACAAAAAAATATACACAAAAAAAGCCCATTTTTATGTACTACATTCATGTTCTTCCATGAAAAGACGTTATGTATCAGTAGTAATTATATTGCATATCAAGGACCCTGGTTAGGAAAGCCTAGCCAGAGATACAGAAATGCTTTATACAAGAATTGAAAAGCCAATTTTACGCACTACCCTAATGTTCTTCCATGAAAAGAGTTTTGTACAGAGTAACCACTTTTTTGAGCGAAAAATAGTGACTTTGACAATTTTCTAATTTTTGTCGAAATTTTTTTAGATCGACCAAATTAATTTTTCAAGCTCTGCCAAAGCACTAAAAAAATCCCTGTGTTGGCCAAAATTTCTGCGCCGGAGGCATAATTTTGAATAAACCGGCTGAAAAATTGCGTTTTTTCGGCGCGCGCTCCCCCCTCAATATTAGTACATATTCGCGCCAAAGGCGCATTTAGAAAAAATTTAGGGTCCGTCACCAAAAACCGTAGTAAATTGTGACTTTTAGTGGCCATTGAAAAAAAAGTGACCAATTAGTGACCAATAGTGACTTGTCACTAAAATAATGACCAAGTGGTCACCCTGGTTTTGTATCACAAGTTATGGTGTTGCAGATCAAGGTCACTGGTTAGAAACGAATAGCCAGCAATACAAACAAGCTTTACACAAGAAAGAAAAAGCCAATTTTATGTACTACAATTACTTTCTCCCATGAAAAGAAGTTTCGTATCAGTAGTAATTATATTGCAGATCAAGGATACTGGCTAGGAAAGCCTAGCCAGAGATACAGAAAAGCTATTTACAGGAATTGAGAAGCCCCTTCAAATGTACTACTTTCGCATTCTTCCATGAAAACGGAGGTAAGTATCATCAATGATGTTATTGTAGGTCAAGGATTCTGGTTAGGAAAGCCTAGTCTGAGATAATGAGATGCTTAATTTAAGAACTGAAAAGCAATTTTTTGTACTACTCTAATCTTTCTCTATGAAAAGAGAGTTTTGTACCAGTAGTTATGGTGTTGCTGATCAAGGACATTGCTAAGGAACGAATAGCCAGCAATACAAAAAATTATACACAAGAAAGAAAAGCCCATTTTTATGTACTACATTCATGTTCTTCCATGAAAAGACGTTATGTATCAGTAGTAATTATATTGCAGATCAAAGATACTGGTTAGGAAAGCCTAGCCAGAGATACAGAAATGCTTAATACGAGAATTGAAAAGCAATTTTTTGTACTACATTAATCTTCTTCTATGAAATGAGAGTTTTGTATCAGTAGTTATGGTGTTGCTGATCAAGGACACTGGTTAGGAACGAATAGCCAGCAATACAAAAAAATATACACAAGAAAGAAAAAGCCCAGTTTTATGTACTACATTCACGTTCTTCCATGAAAAGAAGTTTTGTATCGGCAGTAATTATATTGCAGATCAAGGATACTGGTTAGGAAAGCCTAGCCAGAGATACAGAAATGCTTAATACAAGAAATGAAAAGCAACTTTTTGTACTACATTCACGTTCTTCCACGAAAAGAAGTTTTGTATCAGTAGTAATTATATTGCAGATCAAGTATGCTGGTTAGGAAAACCTAGCCAGAGATACCGAAATGCTAAATACAAGAATTGAAAAGCAATTTTTTGTACTACATTAATCTTGTGCTATGAAAAGAGAGTTTTGTATCAGTAAGTATGGTTTTACTGATCAAGGACCCTGGTTAGGGACGAATAGCCAGCAATACTAAAAAATTATACACAAGAAAGAA